TTGCATGAAGAGCAGAGGAGGGAAACGAAGCAGCAGTTTGATGGTTTGGCGAAAGGGATTGCAGATTGTGAGATACCCTCATCGAATTCTTGCAAAAGCTCAACAAGGAGGGATACGGGCATGGTGGACGCAGCAGAGGAAATGGTAATGGAGGAGACGGAGGAGAAGGAATGGGAACGGAAATGGTAATGGTGTAAGGACAGGGGAAAGTACCCACTGGCGGAGGAGAGGGTAACCAGCAGGAGTACAAAGCAGAATGAAGGTGAAGTTCCCCTGCACATAAGCCGGCTTGGAACACACCTGTATGTGCAAAGGATTGAGGAGGATAAAGATTGTGGCTGTGAGTATGGTGATCTAGGGGCATGCATTGCCTTGGCTGCGGTCACAGGCATAGGTGGCTGGGTATGAAGATGGCACCATAGCGTACTCCCACAACACCCACTTCGAGGATTTCATGAGGGAATGAATCCCTCAAAACCTCTGACGCCATCATTAACGTAGAGTAGCACCATTGGAAGATCGTTGCTACTACTTGCTAGCCTAAAAGCTAAGGTGGACAGCCACAAACAGGTACCCAACCACAGCATGACAGACTCGTCTAGACTGTGTTGTTTCAGTTCCTTGCCTGAACTTTGCCCGTTCTGACGTTCAAGTCTGGCGCATGCGTGTTTCACGTTTTGGCCCAGCTTGTCTGTTTGTGGCTGGGCATGTGTTCGTCCATATTGACCAGGCTTTGTGTGAGGTGGGTGGACCTGGGCGAGTTGTAGAGGGCCCAGGGCACTTGTTTTGGGGCGGGGTTGTGCAAGGTACGGCCTTGGCCTCTGAGCTGCGCCGTCAGATCACAGCTTGATCCAACGGCCTAGGACAGAAGCAAGGCATGGAGTGAACCAGCCCAAAAGGACTTAGGGAGGAGGGCTGATCCACTTGGGAGGTTGGTTCATGCACGCATTTCCACCAGGCCACTGGAACGTTGAGTGACCAGCCTAGCGGTAGGGAGTAGCTGGCAAGAGATAGGTGGAGGAGAGAAGGAGTAGAGGAGTCCGCTTATCTGGCATCGTAGCTTGTAGTCCAGCCACCGGCCATATCTGGCCTTCTTCTCTGTGGTACCTGCAGTTCATCAGTGGCTCAAAGCTCTGCCTTTCACCGGTTATCTCTATACATATAAAGGAAAACGCGGGTCTCGCGTGACGGTCCCGCTCGAGACCCGGTTCCCTGGTGTGGGACTCGTGGCAGGCCCAAGGGCGGACTGCGTGCCGGTTCGGTGAGGCCGGGGGGTCGAGTCGGGTTGCCTGCGGGTGGCCTACGGGCTCTTTTTTCGCTACCGGTTTTTTTTGCGCCGCGTGGGGGGGGGGTTGGTGTCAGCGCGACTTTATGAACGGGCTCTTTTTTCTTCCATGATGCGGTCGGCCATATTCAACCAGGTAGTGTATATTTCCATGTTCTAGCCGAAGATTCATTGGATGTTGCTCGTCCTATCGATGGAAGTAGGATGGCGGGAGCCGCGAGGTCGGATCGTCTCTCTCTCTCTCTCTCTCTCTCTCTCTCTCTCTCTCTCTCTCTCTCTCTCTCTCTCTCTCT